TGTAGAATCAATGGTACCTAGCATGAGGAGAGAGAAACATCTCATGTTAGAATCACCTCGAGCATGGGTTGAACAACGTCAAGCATGAGGTTAAAGAGACTTGTCTCTACTAGATTCATGTTGAACTCTAATGTGTGTGGCATTGAGCATGAGCATGTAGAGGTCCTCTACTTGATGCCAGGCACGAGAGAGTTGGAGACTCTCTACCATATCCATGTTATGCATAAGTAGTTTGGCGTCCGACATGAGTGAAACAAGGAGCCCTTGCCATAATGGTGTCGGACATCTTTTTAGTGGCATTAGGCATGAGTTGCATGATGAAAAGTTGTTTAAAGTTGTTTATAATTGATTGATGATGAATGTTGTATGAGTGATGTAAGATGATATATGTGTGTGTGTATATATATGTATGTATGTATATATATATATAGGGGAGGGTTATAATAACACCGATATAACTTTTACTAAGTATTACACTGCTCAATAACTTTATAATAAATGTGAATTTTGTAAATCCAACCATTGGATTGAAAATTCATATCACTTTATATGTGTATATCAAATTTTGTTAAAATTGAACAACAACTTGAAAGTAATCAAAGTGTTCATATTTTAGTATATTTTGAAATAAATATATTACACCAATTTTGTTTTATAAGAATGAAGTATCAAATCATCTTGGATTAATATAAAATTTTGTATATACGATCTAAGAGTAAAGAACTTTCAATCTAACGGTTGGATTTATAAAGTTGTAAAGGTGCATGATGTTTAAGTTGTTAAGTTGTTGGGCATGAGGTTGAGATACATGTCCTAATTAAGATACATAAAAACTAAAGGAAAGTAAGTAATAACTTTGAAAAAGTATCCCATTTTGTGGATATGAGATGTTGTGCTCTGAGAGCTCAAGTGTTGAAAAACCTTTTATATGTAAGTTGATTACTGAATGGTAAGTTGTATGTTGTTTCCTTTAGGATTTATGTAATATCCGCACGTGAGCAAAGTTGAGACATACGTTTATAAAATGACCAATTAAGTAAAGTATGAAGTCGGAGACTTAGTTCCTCCTAGTATTGGAGGAGCATAGTACTTGAAGGATAGTCAATGGACTAATCCTATAGGTGACTTAGTGATGCAAGTTAATGTCGTGGTAAACTCATACTTAAATTGTTCTACCTTGGTAATAGTATTAGATTTCATAGTTTAAGTGGCAAACCTGAGAAATTAAATTGGGTTGTTAGTTGATTTGGTTGAGATATGTCACATGTTGTGGTTCAGTAGTGTGTAACCACTTAAATTGTTCATCCTATATCGTTAGAGATCTTCATAATTAATAAGCGTGACGACACATTAGTTGTTCAAAGTTGTTTGTGCTAGTATTATTGTGATGTTGTAAGATATGTTGTTGTGATGTAATTGTGTTATTGACGAATTGTTAGTTGACACATGTTGAGGTGTTTTTAATAGTGATGAATTGATTATGTTGTATCATTGAAAGATACCTAGTTATGATTATATGATAATTTTTTTCATAAACTTATCTTGTGTTTTCCATGTGGATGAAACTGTAATGATTATGATTCTTCATGAAAGTATGACTAGATCAACGGGATGACTTGTGTAGTCGATGGTGAGTCACGTTGGTGGTAGCTATGTTTTGTTGATGGCTACTCCTATGTAGTCAGGTTGTATATAGGTGTTGATCGGCAACGCAGAGTCTATCTTGTATACAATTATGTAATTGTATAATGTATTTATATTTGTATAGGGTATATATATAGCTCGTGAGGATTTTTGTTTTTAGTTGTTTATCCTTCTACCCTATACAAATGTGGTTTACATGTTACTTATATAATTGTTGCACGACCACACTAGATAACTTATATTTTTGTTGTGTAGTAGATGAATCCTAGTTAGTGTAGTGACCTATCACGTTGTTATAAAGAATGAGATCAATAAAGTCCTTACTTTTAATCCTTAAAAAATTATTTTGTATTAGTATTTATATAATTTTTTTCAAAACCTATAACTCAAAAATAACATTTTGTATTCTTAAAAACTCTCTCTAAAGTGTTCATCTTTAAATAATATATAAATATAATTATTTTTTTAAGGCTCATATCTAAATTTATTTATTAAATGATATTATTATTAATTTTAAAAAACTCACTTTAAATTTTATTTTAGACGTAATGATGTGTTGGGTCAGCCTCCAAAGACGATTAGATTACTTATGTTATAAATACATATTATCCATATGTATTAGGATTTTTTTTTAAAAAAAAAAGACGTTACATATTTTTTTAATTATATTATTGGTATAATGCATTACCACCTTTGTTTTTCCATATAAAAGATTCAAACTTAAATTCAATACCACTTAAACTAATAATTTGTTAATATTATGTGATTTTTTGATTAATGTATAATTATTTTTATTTGAAAAATAAAATAAAAGAAATTTGACGCAAGTTAAATAACAAATGGAAATGTGCAATTATTTTAAATTGAAGAGTAATCTATATAGGAGATGTTTCGATGGAAATAAATTATAAAACAAATTTGATATAGCTTAAATTGTTTCGATGGAAACAAATTATAAAAGAAATTTGATACCGGTTAAATAACAAATGAAAATGTGAAATTATTTTAAATTGAACTTTATATATAGTTAGTGGTAACCCATACAGGAACCAAATTCGATAGAAATGAATTATAAAAAAAATTTGATACAAGTTAAATAACAAATGGAATTGTATAATTATTTTAAACTGAACTTTAAATATAATTAGTGGTAACCCATCTAGGAACCGATTTGATAGAAATGAATTATACATCTATATTAAACTATATTATTAGTTAAATACTATCAACAACAACAATAATATTAGTTAAATAATATAGTTTATAATATTAGTTAAAAAAAAACAAAACAGTTTTAAAATGTAAAGAAAAAAGGTGAATGTTATTATTATGATATTTATAGATATATTAGAATAATTGTTTTGAATGAACCCATTTTTAGAAATAATTGTTTTAAAGATTTTGTTCTAGACACGGTATTTTTAAAGATTTTTATCTTTTAAATTATATTTTAATATTTTAAAAATAAATTATTAATATTTAAAAATAATTTTATGT